CTGGACAAAAATGTGAGACCTATCTCCAATACTAAGCAAAAAAGGCTGGAGGTGCGGCTCAAGTGGCTAAGAGTGCCTGCAATCAAGCACAAGCTATGAGTTCAAAACCCAGTTACCACTGCCCCCCTCCAAAGAAATTTGATAGTAAAAAAATTAAATAAATAGTAATTAGAATCTTTAACTTACAAATTAAATTACAAGATTCAGGATACAGTTTTATCTGTGCTAGAATTAATCAGTATTTGCTTTATTTAGGTACTACACTGATGACTGGTAATTTACACTTAGTAAAGATGTAACAAAAAGTTAATTATATTCAACAAGAAAGACAACAAGGCAGGAAACCGACATATTTAATTTCATTTGTCTTCTTATTATATTTACATTTTAAAAGTTCTAAATAATTATGGCCGTGGTCAATAAATATGACTCTGTGAAAGAATGTATCGACAAAACCCCAAGTGACTTTAAAGTGATAATTTATGCCTAATTTAAAACCGAAAGAGCTTTGAGGGTTCTTTTTTAAAATAGCATTTCCAATCTGTGTTCAGAACATGAATGCTTTATTCCATTTATAAAACAAACATTCAATATTTAATATTAAATTTTGAAATGTTGATGAGACAGAAAGTTTCTTTACTGTGAGTTTCTGAAAGCCTTTTATTAAGTTTAATGAATATTGCAAATTTCAATGAAAGTTACTATGGGTATTGGCCTTTCCCAAATGCTATGCCCTCCTCTACTTGCTCCCACAATATTTACATTGTGGTTCCCTTGAACACAGATTAATGTAGTTTAAAGCACAGTAAAAGTTCTAAAAATGAAGCTCGCAGGTCCAACTGTGCTAAGATGTATCTTTTAAAGGCATATGTGCACAGTGGAGCTACTATTTGATAGTTGACTGATAATACGAAACAAAATGGATCCATTAACAAGGCAAGAGCTTTTGGAAGGTTTACTACCAAGCAACCAACACTTGCTTATGTACTTGTTGGCTGCAATGAAAGCTGGAGAAAATATGAAAAAATAGTTTTTATTCAAGGAGCTATCAATCTACAGGGGAAGAAACTTTGAATAAAGAAATTTGAGGATATTTTTACTAGTCCAGAGCAGAAATCTTCTGGACAGCGCGAGGACTAGCAGAGGAACACTCAGATCTGTAGTAGTAGTTATCCTGACATATCTGAGTGAGAAAGAGTAATCTGGAGAGGTGAGGTGAGGTCAGATCAGAAAAAAAAATTAGGTTTCATGATTCATCTGTACAGAACCTATCAGAGGCCTGCACTATAGAATTTCTTTTCTTTCAATTCACTTTAAGATTTGTTTTAAAAAGCTATGCTGAGCAGTTCTTGAATGCCAACAGATTTTTATTATTTTGCCCATTTAGGAGAGTAATTTAAGGATTTTTATGCACCTGTCTAGAGGACTGTGACAATACTAGATCTGTTGACAACTCAATAATTACACTGTCTTTTTTAATATGACAAAGTCACCCATTATACACCATTCTACATCTACTAAAAAAAACATTTAATTCATATAAAAGGTCTCGGGTCAGGTGCCAGTGGTTCACTCCTATAATCCTAGCTACTTGGGAGGCTAAGATTGGGAGGGTCATGGTTCAGGGCCAGCCTGGGCAAATAGTTTGTGAGACTCCATCTCCAAAATAATGAGAGAAAAATGGACTGGAGGTGTGGCTCAAGCAGTACAGCACCTGCTTTGCAAAGTGCAAAGCCCTGAATTCAAACCCCAGTGCTCCCTCCCAAAGCAGGCTATGGCCACATGGAGACACAAGAGAATCCATAAACCAAAGAATATTTTTGTACAGACAATATGAACTTCTCTTACCTTCATTAGGTCAAGTAAAACACTGTTTAAAATTCCAAGGTATCTTCTCTCCAATGACTGAGAAGGATGATTAAAGCTGGAAAACTGTAAGGAATGGACAACATAACATTGAATGCTACTATTGGAGAAAGATATGTGTGCATTGTTTTGTGAGTCACTGCAGAAGACAGTAGTCAAGCAGAAGTATTATTGCTCTAGTGCCCATCCAAGTTAATTCATGATTTGTATATTACTTTTGGTACTATGTATTTTAGGTATGAATTAATAGAACTGGATGTGAAATAATGGGAAAATTCACAAGTGAAATTATGATACTTAAATCTATGCTGACAATACGTTAAGTCTTGTAAAATATAAGACTTACAAAATCTGATTGCTGGATATAATACATACACAGTTGCTCATACACTAGGTCTAAAACAGTTTACACAGAATTTGCTTATAATGAGAACTAGCTTACACTGACAGTAACGGTGGTAGGAAGCTAAAGAGGCCATAATGTGGCATCATATAAGATTTTGAGTGGCCTTTCAAATAAGAAACTATAATTTCTACTGAAAATACAGAAGTAAGAAGGGAGAAAAAGGCCAGTGAGAGCCAGAATCTGAAAGGCTACAGGAGCAGAAATAGTGAATTCAGACACAAGTTCTATTATTGCTTTTAACATGCTCTTTTAATGACCAATTTTCAAAACATCCTTTTTATAAGTTGGAACACCAGTTGTGCAACATAGGTGCATAGACAAATGATTTTTAAATATGAGAAAGGAGGGAGTGAAGCTTATTTCGATATTCTATCCTTTGCCAATTCATGTGGCAATATGTAAATGGATGTTGAAACAATTGGGTAAGATTCACCAGACACTAGTGGCTCACACCTGTAATCCTAGCTACTCAGGAGGCAGAGATCAGCGAGGATCGCAGTTCAAGCGAGTCAGCCCAGGCAAATAGTTTCGTTAGACCCTATCTCAAACATACCCAATACAAAAAAAGGGCTGGTAGATTAACTCAAATGGTAGCGCACTTGCCTACAGCAAGCATGAGGCCCTGAGTTCAAGCCCTAATAGTGAAAAAAAAAATTGGGTAAGATGCTGGGAGAGTCCGATGCCATGTACTGCCTCCAAATGTGAGGGCTAGTTTTCTACTGTGTATTTCCTTTATATCAACACAGGAGCATTTCAAAGTATTGAAATCATTAAACATGCTAAACAAGTAAAATTCATAATTAAGGAACAATTATGACATCATCCCCACAAGGGCTTGGTAAGGCAGGGGACATAGTATATGGTAAGACCTAAACCCTGCACTTCAGGAATTGGAAGTCTATTTGGGAAAGCAATCAGTGCTAAACTGTTCAGCCATAAATTCTATTGGAAGTTCAGAAAAAAAGAGAAACCAAAGCCAGGCATAGTGGTACATACCTGTAATCGTATTAATTGGGAGCCAGAGGCAGGGGAATCATGCATTCAAGGGCAGCCTGCACTACATAGCTACATAGCAAGATCCTATCTCCAAAAAAAGGGGAGAGAACCAGGTGGTTTATGGCTATAGAATAACCTGTAGGTAATATCTGAAGTCCACTTTGAAAGATAAGAAAATTGTGAAGATAGAGAAAAGCAGGAAAGCATCTTCTAGACAGAGGAAGAAGAAATAATATGAACTTAATATAGATGCATAGGAAAAAAGATAAGCTGATTTCTGAGGGAAGTGATCCTACATAAGGCACTTTACATATTACTATGATCAGAAAGTTAAAATAACTGGTTTAAGGAAAGTTACATAATTAGCAAGCAATAGAGCAAGGATTTGCACACAGGACTGTGATCCAAACCCACACTTTCTAACTTGAGGCACCTCCCTTAAAGTAGGTGCAGAAATTCCTTTTGATGTTGTTGGAACATTAAGTATCAACCCAAAGACAGACATTTGCCACGCCATGGTAGAAGACCTTATATCAGAACATTTTAATTACAACTTTGCTTCTAAGTTCTAACTTATACTACCAATACCCTCTCTCCTTTTCTTTCTATGGAAATGACATTTCATTGATAAGAAAATTAATTCTGAAATCAAAAGTTAAACTAATTTATTAAAATACCACAAACACTTTCAGACTGAAATGTTTAGAAATACTATTATAAAAAATAAAATTCCTAAATTAAAAAATATATGCTTTTGAATGATACCTACTATTCTGAGATAATGCAACAGCCAAAGCTGAAGCATACAAGTTTAAACTATATCTTGATAAGTACTTTATTTCTTTTCTTAATCACTTAGACATCGGTCTGGGCATTTTTATTTATTTATCTACTTACTTATCTACCTACCTATTTACTTATTTGAGTGCGGGGATGGAAGCCAGGGCCATGGGCCTGCAGGCATGGCTACACCACTGGAGTTACACCCTAACCCTTAGGCATTATTATACAGAACATAGGTGCCATATATATAATGATAATTCTTTATTGCCATTTTAAACATGAAGAAACCAAAGCAAGGATGGTGAAGTAACTTCTTGAAGTCATTCAAGTAGTAAATATGAAGTTAGGCTTTGAACTTCAGCTGTTAACTCCAAAGCCTATGCCTTACAGTACAGGACATTAACAACTATTTCTTCCAAATAATAAATGCAAGTAGAGCAACGTCTTGTGGAATTCCAGTTCCAAGGAATACAAGTGCACATCTCACTGCCTTACTTATTGGTTTGTTCATGGTTCACAGCAAATGCAGTTCATAGGCCTGATGTGCTTAGCTATCTGTCACATACATTCTCAAATGATATCATAAGGCCAAACTTTCCCCTTGAAAGATGTTAAACTTCTAAAGAGATTGAAATAATTTAGTTAAAAGACCATAAATACTTTCAGGCTAAAAATGTAAGCATATTGTTTTATCAAAATCAAAATGTCATGGAAACAGCAATTTTCCTGAAGAATATATACACAGTACTGTCTTATGCTGTCTAACATTTTATAGACAATATTGTTTAAGTGAGGAGGTCTGTGAAGAAACAAGACCACAGATAAAAGAGGAAAAGATGACCTTCATGTGACCTCTCTAATTAATTCAATATCCATTTTAAATTTCAAATCCTCTATCAAACCTTTGTAATGAATCCCCAAGTATATGATTTCTAACTTTCCAGAATGTTTGACATGCTCACAAGTCAAAACAATGAGATATATCAGAAGACCATACAATGAAATAAAGTTTGTAGTACTTTACTATACATTATGCTTTCCTATCAACTGTATTGTTTTCTAATTATTTTAGTATGGAAGTCTTAATTCTTCAGCTAGTTTGTAAGTTACTAAGGCTTGGAACCATGTCAGAAGCTATTTATTCTCTTCAAAGAATCCAGCATGGAACCTCTTTAGTCAGGCCAGGAACAAGTCAGCCAGTAGATCAAGCTTAAAGTTCTAGCAGTTGACATTAAAATTCTGAGGTCAATTATTCAATCATTCAATACTATTCCACCTAGTAGGCACTATTCTAGGTGTGCTGGGAATATAAAGATGAATAGAACAACTCCTTTCCTCAAGAAATTAGTTACTCCAGTGAAGAAACATATTTGTGGACGCAATGGATGCTACAGAAAAGATGTGACCAGAGTGCTATAGGAGCTCAGAAGAGGGAGTCATCTGTTCAGCCTGGAATACTTTAGACTGGTTTCATGGAGGGAGGAGATTAGTCTGAGTCTGAGTGAGTATCGAGGGGACTAGAGATATGAAAATGCAGCACTACAGAAGCCACATGTCAAGGAAATGGTGGGTGGTTCGAGGTGGTGCCCACAAACAGGGGCAGAGGACAACTGGGTACAGATGAAGATGGAAGGCTAGGAGCAAGGGGTCTTTAATGCTACCCTAAGGAGTTTAAACTTTATCAGCAACCCTGTAGAAGTTTTTAAACAAAAGGGAGATAGAATTAAAAGTGTGGTTTGAGAAATGTGAAGACTTAACTGAGAGAGAAAGCTCGAGAGATAAGTTGGGGAGCAATTGGATACAGTTCAAGTAAAGGTGACAAAGGCAAAAAGAAGTATTAGAGATGAAGAGAAGGAAACAAAGCTGAGCTTGAGCGCTGATAGTAGACTGGTTGATTAATCACTGGATATTTAGGAGCGTTTACAGGTGTGCTAGTTCCTGTGTTCGTTGCTGCAAGTACAGTAATGACACAGACGATTTCTATCCTTGGGGGTATTTCTAGTCTAGTGTTGGAGAATTAGACATTAATAGTTAACAAGTAAACAATTTGGTGAAATCATTATATTCAGTGGTTAAGTGGTATGACGGAAAAAAGAAGAGTGCTACATAGGAGAGAGACTAGGAAGGATGGGGGCATTAGAGAGGATAGCCAGAGAAAGGAGACATTCTTAAAGTTGAGATTTACAGAATGAGAAGAGGCTATGCAAGGCAAGACGCTTCCCAGGAGAAGAAACCACAGGTCCCAAGTCCAAGAAGCAGAAAAATCTTGGAATGTTTACAGAGGCCAACGAATAGGCAAGCGTGGTAAGAATCTGTAGGGAGGGGAATGGAGATAGGTATGAGACAAGGTCAAGGAGCAAGCTAGAGAGCCTGGATCAGACAAGATCTCATAGGGTATGGAAAAGAGTTTGGATGCATTCTCAGTGAAACAAAAATTCAGTAATTATGACTAACTGTAATGGTGAATATAACAGATTTTCCTTTCTGCTAGACTAAGGGAAAGAAAGTCCTATTTATTGTCACATTTTTCAGCTTCTAGTATGACAAATGTTCAAAAAATGTTAAAACTACCTTGTTGAACCGCATGTGCTATTTGCAACCTAACTAATGGCCATAATTTGGCTAATAAAAGCAAAAATAAAAGGGAAAAACACACTTGGAAAAGGAAGAGAAAGTAGGAAGGAGTTAAAGGAGAAACTGCACGTGCCTCTCTTGATTCATTTCTTCCACGTCCGCTGAGCCCAGCTGGAGCTATGTTGGACACTTTTGTGTGAGCAGTAGTGTTCTCTAAAAAGAAATTAACTGAGGTCTAGAAAGTCAACGAAAAAACTAAAGTGCTTTACAAATGGTAAGAGAAGATGGTTTGCAAATTATGCATTAAGAGAAAGAAAGGAAGTGGTGCTGAAAATTATTTTATGGTTTCCACAATGACCATAAATTGACATGTTTGGTCCAAAAGTGTTTGAAAACTTAAAAAGCTGTTTTTAGGGTAGATGGAAGAGAGAGCCTACAATTCACTGGCTACTGAATGAGGTGCCTCTGCAAGTTAGATGTTCCTCATTTGGGGAAAAGTTAAAACTTTCTAAGATGGTTTTTTTATTATATTCTCAAAAAACAAGTTTTGTGCAAAAGTAGCAAGTCTAGGGAAGGCTGCCCAAGACAAAACATTGGTTCAGAAAGAAGATTTGAAATTTCACTGTCAGGGCACAAGAAATATCTGTTGGAACAAGAACCTTTAAATCTGCAAAATGCAAGTACTCATGAACTTCTTCAAATCACTACAAATAAGTTTGCTCAAGTAAGCAGCAGCCATTGATATATTTTATATATTTTGGGTACGCTTAGTATTTTGGATAAAGAGACAGTCTAAAATATCAAGGTTTAGAACATAATATTCTTGAATGGGTAAAGGAAAAGGCTCCTTTGGCAAAGGTAAGTCCTAAAACCTACCTACTGTTGCTGTGTTTTTGGGAGGCCTAGATAACATCTCCATATTTTACAATAATAAATACCACCATCTTGAGCACTCAGAACCAATGTCTAATGATTAGGGTTGCTAGACTTCTGAAAACATGTATGCCCCTAACCCAGGAAAGTATAAGACCACAGATACTGAACCACCATTTTGAGTCTTTGCTCCCATTTCCTGCGTGGGGAACAGGAAATGTTTCTCTTTCCTGCTTCTGCCTACTTTATCTTGTTAAACAAAAATAAATCCTTGCTAAACCTTCTAAAAATAATATATATGCTAAACAGATTTTGAAAAATTATAATTTAAAAATTGGGGAAAACATCATTAGCAGATTCCACTTTCCAATTGCAACCACTTGTTTAATTCATAAATACTACATAAGACTCAAGAATAAATTGAGGATTATAAACACTATGATGGGAAAGCCAATAGTATTCAAAAGGTAGTTGATAATTCCACTGTGCAATCAACAATGGGTTAAATAGTACCCTATTGATTCCATGTTGGATTTTAGCAAAAACTCTTACCCGGAGCCCATGGAAGCGAGGATTACTATAAAAGAGCTTCATCTGCTCAGACGGAAGTGGTCCTAGCACCTTCTGTATAGTAAAAAGTTGGTCAATTTCACTTTCTCCAGGAAATAAGGGCTGTCCATCACTAAGCTCACCAAGTATACAGCCCACTGACCACATGTCTACAGACTTCCCATAGGGAGCTCTGAAAAGCAAAAGGAGAAATTGTCTTGGCAATTGAATAAATGCAATGGTTTAACAATTTCCAAATTATTTTGAACAGATTCATAATTTAAAGCATGTTTGTAAATTTAAGAAATTTAAATTTGCTGTTAGAAAAAGTGAGACTGGCCAGGTGCAGTGGCTTGTGCTTGTAGTCCCAGCTACTCAGGAGGCAGATATCAGAAGGATCAGGGCTGGAGACCAGCTTGGGCAAAAAGTTAGTGAGATCCCATCTCAACCAATAAGTGTGGCTGGAGGTTTGTGCCGGTGATCCCAGATACCAGCTACTTGGGAGGCTGTAGGTAGGAAGATCTTGGTCAGAGGTTGGCCCCAGGCAAAAATGGAGACCTTACCTGAAAAATAACTAAAACAAAAAAAAAAAAAAGAGGGGGGGGCTGGAGGTGAGGCTTAAGTGGCAGAGCACCTGTCTAGCAAGTACATGGTCCTGAGGTTAAACCCTACTGTCACTAAAAGAAAACAAAAAGTATGTGCCAAAAATTGACAGATGACATGTTATGTGAAATAAGAGATAAATTCCTGTCCTTGAGGAACGTTTAATTTGAAGTGTGTGACTCTGAGTTCAAACCCAGTTACCATGAAATAAAAAAAAGGGGAAACTAAAAATAAGAAAATAGAGCTATCCAAGTAAAAATTCAGAACACAAGTGAATAAATGTACACTAGTAAAAGTATCAGTTTAATAATAATTTAGTTAGTAAATACCAATTTGAATCTGGGTATATCTTGAACATGAATGGCTTAATAAACTCTAATATAGTGCTATACCTCATATGGAGAATGAAATGCTCCCAAGAAATATATTTTCTAGGTAATTATACTTCAGCTCTCCAAATGTCAAAAAAGGCACATTGTATCTATGTTTTTGAATTTAGTCTATTAAAGTGTGCTGATCTGTCTTCATAAATACTGAATATTGTAACCTTTGATTACTTAGTACCATGATTTCCAACAGCTAAAATTATAATATTTACTTGAATATAACTGTACTCTACATATATGGGGCTTTCTGATAGCTATTTCCCTCAAAGCATGTTTTAAATTTACTTAGGGGGGTTTATATCTCTCTTCTAGGACCCAAGTTTACCAGAGGGCTTTAGGAGGAGAGTTGCTGTTACAAATGGCACACCATAAATAAAGAATCTAGGTATCTCCAAAACAGCTTTATACCTATGCCCCAGTATCTTTAGCCTTAAATTACTTATGGCAGATTAAGAAAGAATACATAGGTATTTTGTAGTTTCAAACATAAATAATCCAAGCTTTAAGAAGGGAAAGTCAAAATAAAATATCTGAAAAAGAATATAGAATGAAATTCTAGAATGCCATAGTGGTATAAAACAGTAATATAAAACTTTTAAACTAAAGCACCATTAACCTACAGAATATGTTTACAGGATAACAAATCACTGCGATATTAAGTCAAAATTTATTTATCTCATTTCATTCCCACAAAAACCTAAAACCATATGAGAAAATTTCATTTAGATCTTTTTCATAGCTGGCTGGGGAAAAGAGTATACTGATCTTTTTTTCTTATCTGCTTGAAAGAAAACATGTCTCATGGCACTAGATGGAGGAACCTATGGAAAATGTCCACATACACAGGACAAGCTATTTTTCTTCTGTTATCTGATTTGAATAATGTATGCAGCTGGAGCTATCTTGAATATCAAGAACAAAGTGCTGAGAATGTACAAACACATAGATCCTTAATATAAAACCAATTATCAACTGATTTCAGTGCAATTTTTACACAAATACTATGGTTCTTCAATTAGTACCTGACAATCACTTAATCAGCAATATTTCATTTAGCTCAAATTAGTTGAACTGTTCCCATCTACTTTTGGAAGCTACCACATATCTCTAAACATAACCTTGGTCTTCCCATGGGTATTGTTAGGCAGCAAATACTCACTGAAGACTCATAATAAGACTGTTCTCAGAATACACTCCTCTGGGCCATCCTACAGACAAAACCATACTCTATTGAGTCTTTCCACCATACTTGAGTTTTTGGATGTGCTTCTAAGAATGATCTACTTCATATTCTTTTCCTTTTCTTTCTTTACCTTTTCTCCTTCTCTCCCTACCTCCCACCCTCCCTCTTTCTGTATTGGGGACTGAACTTGGAGATTCCTGCTTATTAGGTAAAGGCTCTACCACTTGAGCTACTACCCCAGTCCTTTTGCTTTTAGTTTTTGTTTATTAGATAGCATCTCACAGTAACTTTTCCAGGGCTGGGCTTGAACCACGATCCTCCTGTCTCTGCCTCCAGAGTAGCTAGGATTGTAGGTGTTCACCATATTCTTCATTGGCATATGTTATCTACTAAATTCAAATTCTAATCCCCTGCACCATACATCCTAGTGAGTCCAGAAAGGCACCAAGAAGAAACATAGATGAACACAAAGAAAATTAATTCTAAATCCAAGATTAAAAACAGCACAGAAATCCAAAACTCTGTCCACACAAATGAAGGGATAATAACGTGCCTAGCCATCATTTGTTTTCAGAATAAAGCAAGTCTTTGATTTAAAAAAAAAAGCAAATCTTTCGAAAAGTTATGCCAATAATTTTTATACACTCTAGGTCAGCAATGGATTAAGAATTACTACTTGATGGTTAGTAGATATGAACAGTCAACATCCAATAAACCCTCAGGAGTAAAAAACATATAGTCAACCCTCTGCTCTTGAGGAGAACAACAGAAATTTATATTGCTATTGTATAAAATGAATCTATTAAGAATTAAATTTCTCATGTCCCCAGATACATACATGTATGGTATACTAATGAGATGAAACCTACAATTTGTGTACTTATCATTACCACTATGGCTAATTTTATTTGTAAGACTATACCTTCTTTTTGCATTGTTTGGTGGCTCCAAAGAAGAAAATACAATCTAGGAAAAATAAAATACTACAACTGGAGTGAGAATTATTAATTAAACTATGTGGTAGAGACGAGGACTACAGGCTCCTTCTTAGGCTCTAAAGTTAAAACACATTATATAGAAACGAACCTCATCAGAAGACCCTTTCATGGTGTTAACAGATAAATGAAAGAGGACTGAAAGGGGAAAGGTGGGCACAAAAAGGATAGATATGGAGATATTGTTGAAAAAAATCATCCATGCAGTGCTAGTTTGAATAGCCATTTATCATTAAACAGAATTTTCATTGTTCAGAAGAAAAATGGCAATTGGTTCAATATTACCCCAAAGTGGCTAGATATATGCAGCATTTATTGAATGAATCAACAAATGCATGAGAGAATATATAAGCCAGAATATCAAACTCTATGAATATTCACATCCTTAATGTGGAAGATTTTTAGCAAAAATGGCTAAAATATTTCACTTCATTTCTGTATGTATGCCCCTTTGTAATGTGGATCTGTTATTTCTCCCATCCAGATGTGGGATTTCTTTCTCCATTCCTAGAATCAGGGCTTAGACATGAAACATGGTTTGGCCAATAAGGCAAAAGTCATCCAAATAGAGGCTTGGAAAGTACCTTTGCTTTGGGGTTGACCTTCTTGCTGAATGGAATTTTCTCACTATCACATTTAGAAACTGAAAGATGAGTCTCTGTGGATTAAAGATGGTCTGTCCCAGCTGAGGTTCCTACACCAACCAGCTCACAAATGATCTGCCAGCAGATTCTCACTACCCGATTGACTCCAAGAACAGCAGAACCATCCAGTTGAACTCAAATTACTGACACGAAGAGTCATGAGTAAATAAAATGTTGCTTGTTTCATGTCATTAAGTTTTTAGGTGGTTTGTTACAGTGAATATATAACTGACATATTAACTAAAGTTTTTATTTTCCTTAGGTGATCCCAAAGTCAATTATAAAGGATCAATAGATGTTGATTTCTCTGTTCTGGGAAGGTAACTCACCCAAGTAAGAGTTCTGGGGATCGATACCACCTAGTAGCCACATACTCTGTATAATTAGCATTATTGCCCTCTGAGAGATTCCGAGCAAAACCTGAAAAAATAATTTCATGTTGACAAAATATTTCAGTGCTAGTAATACCTTTAAAAACATCAACAAGAACATGAGTGATATTGAATCAGCTATTTATTAACAGTGTACTTTTAAAAGTTAGTAGAACATTCATATGTCAATTAAAATTTACAACGTATTTGTTACAAACCCAGTCTCTTCCCTATGTTAAAAGAAATCCATGTTTACAAAGTCATTGCATGCTTTTCTAAGCATTCAGAACATACCTTTAAGTTAGGTTTTCTAAAAATGTAAATCTTAGGAACAAAATGAAGTCTCCACTAGAGTCAGAATTCAAAGTTAAATTAGCATATCGTATATGGTCATTAATCCTCCTCTTTGGGACTTAAATACTATTTTTATATTTATTGTTGCTGAACAGTTCCAGTCATTATGAAAACAACTGACAATTGGCAGTAATAGAAACAAAGTAGGTGAAAAATTAATGTCATCCCTGAGAAGCATGCTAGGGGTATCTTAAATTACCTTACAGATTCTACCATTACTTCTGTCCCTTGCCCTTTCAAGACATTTTGGGACCAAAGCATAGCCCCAAAATGAGGGAGCAGGATAAATTAATTACCCATCTAACTCACCAAATGCAATATAGGTTCATCATCAATAATTATAGGGAGCTAAAACACTAAAATTAGGGGTAAAAATTAAGGTGTACGTCACTTTTGAAAAGTAGAAAATAGTGTTTTCTTAAAATGAAAGTTAAAAAATACAACCACAGCAAAAAAAGAAAAGCTCCTAACTTCAAGTTAATCAATACCTCTTTATAAGATACACTTTGAGTAAGTATTTGTATTTCTGAATGGGGTTCTTTTAGCCAGACAAAGGAGCTGCCTGCTCTGGGAGGGAAAGCAATTCAGAAGTCTTTGTTGGGGATACACAGGACACAGAATGCCACATGTAGCACTGTCAGGAGGTGAAACATTTTCTTAAGAAATAATGCTAGCTCAGGAGTGTTCTATTCCTATTATTAACCATTATACAGACATTTCTTTTGTATTTCTAACTTGCTTTATAAATTTCAGACATCTTAGAACTTTAAGCATATCAGTGACCCATAGCAGGCAGAGTAAATGGTATATGAGGTCCACAAAGTCTTTGTCTTGGGTGGTAATCACAATGACGGACAAGAATTCATTAATAAACACTGTTCCTTAAATTATGATGTTAAGGAAATGATAAAAATGCTAAGATTAAAATCTTTCACGTATAGTATTCAATATTTCTTTTTCATTTTCCTAAGCATTTAAAAAATTTAGGATAAAGCAAGACTCTTCAATATACCTTATCATAAATTGTGAAAGAAAAGTATATTTTTCTTAGGCAAGCGGTTCATAATATCCAAATCCTTTGAAAATATTGACTGAAAACAGTTATACACATTTCTAAATGCTACACTAGACAAAATGGGTTATTCTGCAAAGCAAATTCTTACAATACTCTATTCCTCAGTAGTATAATCCGCCTACATACTAATCTAAAGTACTCTAACTTTTGCTTATGATAAGGAGATTATATGTGGAGGTCTACATTGTATTGGTTTTATTTGAATATATGAAAAAGGTTTTTAAAAATGAAGTTATTTTTCATCATGCATGCACACTGGGTAAAACTTAAATTTCATGAAGTAACCCATGATTTAAATACCCTAACTTATTATTTTAAAACTTTTCTAAATTATTTTAAATGTTTGAAAACATTTAGTACAAAGAGACAATACACAATTTTTTCAATAGGAGTATCATGAAAAAACTTCCCTATACATTCAATCAAGGGCTAGAATATTGGACATCAATTATCAAGTTTCATTTGTTGAACACTTAAGGAGAATTAATGAATGTGTTCTAAAACTGGCTTTGACCTTATACATATATAACCATTGTACACACATAATACATTATGTGTGCCTATTCAGTCATGCATTTAGTGAAAAAGACTAAACCTAGAACAATTTCTATCAACATTTTAAATATTTTATTCTACTCAAACCAAGAATCTTATAGTGGCAGTTCTAAGAAAACTCTTATCCTGGGGTAATTCATTTATATTTACTGGGCTTATTCATTTATATGCATGCATGTATTTTCTTTGAATTAATTCTTGTTAAGTAAATACTATGATAAATTAAAAAAATAGTAGACAATGCTCTACAAAGAAACTCCTACAGCAATCAATTTTTCAACATATGACCCAACTGAATGCTCCTTTGCTAATTTAAGTCAAAGCATAAGAACTATGTTTATAATATGCCTTTAAAATCTATGGACTGTTTCAGGGGAAGAGAGGGAGGAGGAAGAGGAAAATAAAATGGTAGAGAGTAAATAATACTGAAATACATCATATCTATGTAGAAAGAAGGCATAATGAAACACTCTGAAAGCTGTTGAATAGTAGGGAGTACAAGGGAAAGTGTAAGGAGGCTATTTGATTAAAGTACAATATATTCACAGGTGAAATGCCATACCAAACCCCTCTGAACAATGAATGTACACTTAAATGAAGGACTGGAATGTAAAACAGGGCCTGTTAAGGGATGGGGAGTAGTGGGAGGGGGAGGATGAAGTTAAAGGAAGGTGAATACAGTAGACGTGCTTTATAAACTTATATGAAAATAGAACAATGAAACCTGTCGAAATAATTTTAAGCAGGGGGAGGAAAATGAGGGTGCATGATGGTGGGGATGAACCTAACCAAGCTACATTGTAAGCATATATGGAAATGTCACAATGAAACCCCCTGTACAACTAATACATGTTAATAAAAATTTCTAAAGAAGTAATGTACATTGTTATTAATATTTTAAATCACAAATAAACATAAACTGCTTTGTCTAGGTCCAGACAATAATTTAGAGTAGTTTAAAAGGTGAAGTAAAAATAATTAAATAAACCAACAAAAAACTACATATGTTCTACATGAAATTAGTTCCGTAAGTACTGGGACTCAATTTCTTTTTAACTTACCAAAGTCACATAGTTTCAGAACTTCATTGTGACTGATTAACAGATTTTCAGGCTTTATATCTAGAGTATCAAGATTAAGAAACAATTAATAAAAATGTTCTATGTTCTGCTGATTGACACAGATTACTGTAATGTCATCTAATTAGAAATATCTAGTATTATTTGAATACAAGACTGGAAAAGCAGAGAGACACATTTTATGCTGGTATATAAATGTTTCAATTAGTTTCCTTTTGAAAAACATGCAGATCATAATTTCAAAATATCCCTTTAACTATTTTTCCTTTTTTCTTTCCCATATTGCTAGGGATAGAACCCCAGGGTGTCAAGCATACTAAGGTAACTGCTCTACCATTGAGCCACATACTCCCCTAGCCTACCTTTAACTCTTAAAGGATTCAACAATGATTGAATTTAGAACAACACATTTCAAGGAACCATTCTCACCTCAAAAAGTAATAATAACATTTTATTTACATCCACAAGATACTATAACACTACACCTAAGAGCAAATACCAGGAAAAAATTCAAGAAAGGTTTTCTGTATAATTTCTATATTTATGTATCTCTTTAGCTTTTCTGTTTGGTTCACAATTATCAATGTTTAATGCTGAAACTATGCCAATGACTCAAGTTAAGATTTCTGGGGTTTTTTCTACAGATCTAGGAGTTGAGGACTTCAACAAATGTTGTTGGGAAAACTGGATATCTGCATACAGAAAACTGAAACTAGATCCATGTCTTACATCCTGTATAATTATCAACTCAAAGTGGATTAAGGACTTTAATATAAGGCTTTGAAACAACTACACGTAGTAGGAAATAAACTGCAACATATAGGCATAAGCAATGACTTCCTAAAAAGAACTTCAATGGCTAAGCAATTAAGAGAAAGGATTAACAAATGGGACTGCATCAAACTAAAAAGTTTCTGCACAGCAAAAGAAATAGTCACTAGACTTAAGAGACTGCCCACAGAATGGGTGAAAATCTTTACCAGCTATTCATCTGATCAGGGACTAATATCCAGAATCTACAGGGAGCTCAAAAAACTGAACCCCTAAAGAATCAACAACCAATGAAGAAATGGGCACATGAATTGAATAGGGAATTTTCAAAGGAAGAGGTAAAAATGGCTAATAAATGAAGAAGTGCTGAACTTTCCTGGCCATAAAAGGCAAATCAAAACTATACTAAGATTTCATCTCACCTCAGTTAGAATGGCTATCATAAAAACACAAACAACAACAAATGTTGGCAAGGATGCAGTGAAACAGGAATCCTTAGACACTGTTGGTGGGAAGGTAAATTAGTACAACCATTATAGAAAGCAGTATGGTGATTCCTTAAAAAACTAAAAACAGAACTGTCATATGAATCCAGTGATACCATTCCTGGGCATAGTTCTAAAGGGATGTAAGTTATGATGCAATAGAGACACTTGCACATCAATGTTTATTGTAGAACTGTTTACAATAGCCAAGCAATGGAAACAACCCAGATGCCTGCCAACTGATGAAGGGATTAAGAAAACATGATATATATATATATATATATATATATATATATGTCACATACATATATATATACACATACATACACACACACAATGGAATTTTATTCACCCATAAGCAAGAATGAAACTATGTAGTTTAAAGGTAAATGGATGGAATTGGAGGACATCTTGTTAAGTGAAATAAGTCAGGTTCAGAAAGACAAAAATTGCATGTTTCCTCTCATATGTGGAAGACAGATCCAAAAGATAAATGTGTACACAAAACAAATGCGATCATATACACATTTATATGTAGAACATACTTGTAATAGTGGAACCACTCTGGCACTTGGGGGAGGAGGGAAAGGAAAAGAGAATGATAGAGTCAACAACATCAAAATGCATTACATCTGTGCAGGAAGAGGACATAATGATATGTACTGAAAGCTGCTAAACAGAGGAGGCTGAATCAACAAAAGTAAAGTATATTCAAAGCTGGGATACATTGAGAAACCCCTTTGAACACTGATTTTGGATTAACTATAAAATAAGTACAGAGTGGGAGGGTACTTGTGGAAGGGGGAGGGTGAATGGAGGAGATGAAGGTGAGGGAATATGGTTTATGGGCTTCATATACATATATGAAATAGAACAATGGAACCTCTTGCAATTGCTCTAAGTAGGGCAGGGAGGAGGCTGCAGAGCAGGGGAGATGATGGGGGCAATCTAACCAATGTACAATATAAGGCTATTTGGAATTGGCACTATGAATCCCTTCTGTACAATGAATATATGCTAATAAAAATGAAAAAAAAAATAGGAGTTGAGGAGCAGATATTCACAAAAAATGCAGTTGAATTCTCTCTTTGGGAGGCATCTCACAAATTTAGTTTGGGAGTATAGTAACCATCATCCATATCATATGGTAGAGGTACATGTGGAGACAGGGCAGAGGTACTGGAATATGGAAGAATCAGAATCATGGTTTCTACCATTAATTCACAACCACTTATTTGCTACACACTTAACTAAATCATAGTATCATGATGGAAATGCAGCTAACTCAGCTCCTCATTAATATCCCCAAACACAAAATAATCTGTTATTAGACTCATTACCCTAGACATTAGATGACCAGCTGACTTGGTATCTATTTATGCCACCCATAACCTTAACGATAGTCAAATAAATGCAAGAGAACTATAACCTCTAGAAACAATAAGAATTGACATTTTTTATATTACTTTTAAGCTATTCTTAAAAGAGACCATTTTAAAGTGATATGCTTGCATATTTGTATAGGTAGATTAAAACACAGCATTCATTTATCTGATAATGCAAAGATAAGATAAACATCCTTTAGCTTCATTATTGTATCAATTTATGTCCTGCTACTATAAAACTCTGCCATGTAAAAGAGGTTATCAGGAGAATATAAATGGTATAGCATCAAAAATGATGCTAAGCAAGTAATTTCCTTTTTATTGTTATAAACCACTAACTTTGTGGCAATAAAGGACAACATAAAACAGTTTATAGAAGTATAATCATAGCCTTCAGGCTAAGTTGGTCATGGCTTCCACTGACAGACAATGGACACTTTTCACTAATGGATAGGGAAAATCAGGACATAAAGATGTATACTGGAGATTGCTGATCAAAGACAGAATGAAAGGTAAGTTCCAGTGAGAGTCAGTGACTTAGGGACCATCTATAAAGCCTGAGTCTGAGTTGGTCACATTACCTGGTCTACTTGCAGGATTAAAAGGCTAAGGAAATTGTCCTTTGCCACCCACCTCCCATCCCAGTAAGCTTCAAAATTCACCTTTGTTCTTTTATATCAGTAGGTGTTTGTATAGTTCACAGTGGGTTGGTTATACAAATAGAGATCTCACTGCAACATCCAAATAAATTTGTGATCTTTTAATGGTACAAAAGGAGTTTTTGAGGGCAAATGACTTCTCATATTTTATACTTTCAAAATATACTTAATTTAAATAGAAATATTCTTAAGACAGTAAATATTTAACTTTGACTGGTTTGAGTATTTCCCATTTAAAAATTCCATACTCACCTCTATGGACAATATCATTCTTATGGCACCAGTGAATAGCTTTGATTAGTTGATAAATATAGCTTTTTACTTTTTCAGGTGGAACTCCATTTGGCATTTCTTCCAGCAACTCAAGCATATTCTAAAAATGAAGGAGAGAACCATTCCTCTCCATAATTAAGTAGGCCCATAAATTATATATTAATAATTTTTAAAAGCATGTAATTTTTTTTTGTTTTCATCCACAACTGACTTCATGGTGAATCAGGTTACTACATTAAATCAAGGTTTCATTTTATAAGAAATACCATTTTTATTACTCCTCTTTTCTGCCCCCCCCAAAATAACTATGTGCACTTTTCACTCCCCCTAAAGACTTTCAAGCATCATTTCAGAATAATTTAAAAAAGAAAAGCAATACAATGTGGAGACATAACAGCAATGTATAAAGGGGGGAACAGAGATTTTAACACAGTGTTCTGTGTATCCATGATAGAACTTTGTAATAAAGTTAAGACTTAAAAATGTTTCTGGGAGAGATCTGGGTAATATTGTTAAAATGAAAAAAAAAAAAAAGGAAAGGAAAGGAAAAAGTCCCTAAGGTTAGAACTTATCAATACATTTAGTACAAAAATTAAAACAGGCTAGAAAATACTGTTGAAATAACATGTAGACCCCAAACAATTCAATGTTCAAAAATCTTAGTTTAGCTGCATGCCAGTGGTTCATGTCTATAATCCTAGCTACTTAGGAGGCAGAGATCAGGATTGTGGTTCAAAGCCAGCCCAGGCAAAAAATTTGTGAGACCCTATTTCAAAAATACCCAACACAAAAAATAAAGGGCTGGCGGAGTGATTCCAGTGGCAGAGCACCTGCCTAGCAAGTGAAAGGTCCTGAGTTACAACCCCAGTGCCACTCCTTCCCTAAAAAAGTCTTAGTTTGGAGTCAGAGACCATTCTAAAATTCATGTCATTTTTTTGCTTAAGTAGAAACTTAATGAGTCTCCACTGAAATTTAGATTAACCAAACATTCTTCATTTCCTCCTTAGAGCATAATAAGGCTCACAGCACAATCGTAGCTTATGGTTTGAAGGTAAACATCCAGGACAGCAGTTCTCAAAGTGTGGCCAGGGGATCTACAGGGGTCTCAGACATTGCAGAGAGCCCATGAAGCCAAACTGTATTGATCATAACATTCGGATGTTTGCTTTTTCACTCTGTTAGTATTTACACTGATGGTACAAAGCAACAATGGGTGATCTGCCTGGCACATTAGCCTGAATCAAGGCAGTGGAATCTTCAATTCACACTTACCATTAAAAAAGAACAGAACTGCAGTTTTAGTTAAGGATGTCCTTATGCAGCAATGAAAAATATTACTTTTACTTGATTTTGATTATCAAATATCATCTTTTTAAGAATTTACATGATAAAAAGAAAAATCCACTTTGTGCTACACATGGGTCATCTAAACCATGATTGTCTCAAGGCAAAGCACTAGGTTGACTGAGATGCAGGCTGAGCTAGCTGCTATTTTGTGACATACTATTTTTTACATGAAAGAATGACTGACACACAAACTTATTAATGGGTTAAAATTATCACTAATAAGTTGACCTTTTTTATGAGCTAAAGCAAGTGAGCAGACAACTCAAACAATACATACTTTCTTCTTTTCTCCCATGCTTCCAATTCCTTACTAGTGGTCTTGTCTACTGCCTCGAGCCTCACCTTATGCCTCCTGGCCAAAGCAGTGGTAGTTCACAAAAAGCTTCATTCATTCATTACACTAGGTCTGATTCAGGCACCAGTCCATGCTTATGTGGGTCTGACATGTACCTGTACCAAGACTATTCATTCATTCACTCATTTTGTCTTCAGGTTTAATTAAAATAAATCTAATTTAAAAATTACTTGTTGTACATAGATTCTAAGACTTCAGAAGCCACACCAGTATATTATTCAAACTTAAGATTATCTGTGTACTGATAAATTGTACAAAATCCTTAAGTCTGTTTCAGGACTTCTAATGATTATGGATAATATTTTCATTTTAAAAGTCCTGAGATAAGTACTTTGACAAGTTATACTAAGTAATGCTTTCTTCAGTAATGTTAGAAATGGCCCTAAATAAAAGATCCAGGCAAATCTGCACTATGGCAATTAATGACTTACTTTCTCAACATATTCAAACACCAAGTACAATTTTCCTCTCCTACGAAAGGCTTCCTTCAGCTCCACAATGTTTTCCTGCTTGAGAGTACGAAGCATTTTAAGCTCTCGTAAAGTCGTTTCCTTGACTTCTTCATTTTCTAAAATGTAAACAATGGTGAAGAGAGAAAAATTAAAGCTTTTAAGCTACTGTTCAAAGAATTTTAAGAGCATTGAAAACATCCCAATTTCACCTTGAGTACTTTTACTTAAGACGTGCTTGGATAGAATGTTAAGTAACACTTTTTCTTGTTGAAAAAATCAAGAATATGAAACTTAAAGAAAAAGGCTTGCTTAATCAGCATGAACCTGACTTTCTGCTTGTATTTTCTTATATTCCTCATGCAAAAACACACATTTATAGATACGACATATGAATCCACTTTCATTTTAACTCTAACCCTATACTGAGGGAAAACGCTTTTAAAAGGGTCATAAGAATCAACACATAAAAGTATGTAGGAGAACCTCTCTGCAGCCAGCATCTGTAGTAGTTGTTATCTTACAGTTGGCTTCTAGCTTTGGTTTAAAAGAGCATTTTATTCCTCATGCTGTATATGAGTCACCTTAGTAAGCAAAGGTCTTGCACCAGGCATCCACAATACAGCTCACAGCCAAATTGCAGAAAATTCTTAAGAGTGTTTGATCTTCTCTTTGAATAGCAACTGTTGTGGGTTCCTGCTGCTTTCCTGTGGCATGTCCATCTGCCCATTCCAGATGGCATAGCTGTTCTGGGATGTAGAACTTATACAGAACCAATATCCGCCCTTCTATACCATAAATTTCACTGTGATAGCCTCCACAGACATGGAAGAAGGACAGAAGTTACATTAACTCTAAAGGATTAATAGGCAGAGAAATAAGGAAGATAATATTTCATTTTAAATGAGTGCTCATGATAGCTTCAGTAAAGCTGGGAAATTCTAACTACTGTCTTTTCATAGGTATGTATGAGGGCACAGGTTTATAATTCTTCATCTATAATTCTCAAATCACTATAACAATCTAAAAACTGAAACTTTTCCTAAGTTTGTGACAAATTCATTTAGAAGCAAAACTGAATTGACAAGAGACCATTTATATGGTCTTTCTTTAACCCTCTTAATATGAATATTCATGTTGTGCTATAGAAATACTACTTGGTTACGGATGCTATATAATATGCCATAGTTCCATTCTAAAATCTCAAAGTTATGAGTTCTAAAGCACATTTGGATTCAAGGCTTTGGGAATCCTAGCTTGAGAGGTTAAGTTTTGTGATCTTCAGTTTTAGGCATGTCTTCAAGACTGGAATTTGGGGATAGGGGCAAGAAAGTCTATGCCTTCTGGGAAAACATACTTGCTAAGCAAGGTACAAGAGGGAAAAGGCTGAATGAGGGGATGGCAAAGGGAGAGTGGAAATTCGGAGTAAGGAATGCTTCTCAGCTTATATTTTATTCCAGCCCCCTCTCTCAACTGCCCTTTTTTTTTTCATTTTTCTTTTATTATTCATATGTGCATACAAGGCTTGGTTCATTTCTCCCCCCTGCCCCCACCCCCCTCCCTTACCACCCACTCCGCCCCCTCCCTCTCCCCCCCTCAATACCCAGCAGAAACTATTTTGCCCTTATCTCTAATTTTGTTGTAGAGAGAGTATAAGCAATAATAGGAAGGAACAAGGGGTTTTGCTGGTTGAGATAAGGATAGCTATACAGGGCATTGACTCACATTGATTTCCTGTGCGTGGGTGTTACCTTCTAGGTTAATTCTTTTTGATCTAACCTTTTCTCTAGTACCTGTTCCCCTTTTCCTATTGGCCTCAGTTGCTTTAAGGTATCTGCTTTAGTTTCTCTGCGTTAAGGGAAACAAATGCTAGCTAGTTTTTTAGGTGTCTTACCTATCCTCACCCCTCCCTTGTGTGCTCTCGCTTTTATCATGTGCTCATAGTCCAATCCCCTTGTTGTGTTTGCCCTTGATCTAATGTCCACATATGAGGGAGAACATACGATTTTTGGTCTTTTGAGCCAGGCTAACCTCACTCAGAATGATGTTCTCCAATTCCATCCATTTACCAGCAAATGATAACATTTCGTTCTTCTTCATGGCTGCATAAAATTCCATTGTGTATAGATACCACATTTTCTTAATCCATTCATCAGTGCTGGGGCATCCTGGCTATTTCCATATTTTTGAAAAGGGCAGTTGACATGCTAAGATTCCACCTCACCCCTGTTAGAATACCACCAACAGCAACACCACCAACAACAGGTGTTGGCGAGGATGCGGGGAAAAAGGAACCCTCTTATACTGTTGGTGGGAATGTAGACTAGTACAACCACTCTGGAAAAAAATTTGGAGGCTACTTAAAAAGCTGGACATCGATCTACCATTTGATCCAGCAATACCACTCTTGGGGATATACCCGAAAGACTGTTACTCCAGAGGCACCTGCACATCCATGTTTATTGCGGCACTATTCACAATAGCCAAGTTATGGAAATAGCCAAGATGCCCCACCACTGACGAATGGATTAAGAAAATGTGGTATCTATACACAATGGAATTTTATGCAGCCATGAAGAAGAACGAAATGTTATCATTCGCTGGTAAATGGATGGAATTGGAGAACATCATTCTGAGTGAGGTTAGCCTGGCTCAAAAGACCAAAAATCGTATGTTCTCCCTCATATGTGGACATTAGATCAAGGGCAAACACAACAAGGGGATTGGACTATGAGCACATGATAAAAGCGAGAGCACACAAGGGAGGGGTGAGGATAGGTAAGACACCTAAAAAACTAGCTAGCATTTGTTTCCCTTAACGCAGAGAAACTAAAGCAGATACCTTAAAGCAACTGAGGCCAATAGGAAAAGGGGAACAGGTACTAGAGAAAAGGTTAGATCAAAAAGAATTAACCTAGAAGGTAACACCCACGCACAGGAAATCAATGTGAGTCAATGCCCTGTATAGCTATCCTTATCTCAACCAGCAAAACCCCTTGTTCCTTCCTATTATTGCTTATACTCTCTCTACAACAAAATTAGAGATAAGGGCAAAATAGTTTCTGCTGGGTATTGAGGGGGGGAGAGGGAGGGGGCGGAGTGGGTGGTAAGGGAGGGGGTGGGGGCAGGGGGGAGAAATGAACCAAGCCTTGTATGCACATATGAATAATAAAAGAAAAATGAAAAAAAAAAAAAAAACAAAACTGCCCTTTTCAAACTGAGTTTAAAGAAGAGACTGAAATAGAAAGAGAGGCTCCAGAATACTAGAGTATCTGTAACAAATGAACATAAAGTCAACATTCCTTTCTGAACTGATTACACAAGTGAAGTATTCTACTTTGCCCAGAAAACTGTTGGAGATTGCTGGAACACAGATTAGGAAAGGATACAAATGCTGCCTATGGGAAGATAAAAATCAGCAGTAAGGAAGGTCAACAGTGGCAGAAGCAAGTGATCCAGTCCCATGTCAAAGGAAGACCATGACAATGGAATGGGTGAGATTCTATCAAGGCATTTCCTGAGGTGGCTTAGAGGACTGTGAAGGGACAAAGGGCCAGTTGTTGTGCAAGTTAGTGCACACTGCCATTCTTCACAATAAGTTGTATCAGGACCCCATCTCATGCTCCTCTCCCCCTTCTTCATCTTAGTCTTTTGGTTCCCAAAATAGCCCTAAACTCTGTCAGCTATAGAGCCTTTACTCTGGTTCCTGAAGGACTGGCTCCTTTAGGTTTTCAATTAAATCTCACTTCTGACCAGTCTTTCACAGACTGTAAAAGCAAGCAGTCCTCCACCTCAACAATTCTTATCACAGTACTCTGGGCTCTTCTTCCACAGCCTGGCTCACCATATTTCTTGATACAGGTAGAGTATGCCTTATCTGAAAAGCATGGGACCCAACAGTGTTTCAGATGGAACATGTGCATATACCTAATGAAATAATAGGATTATGACTCAATTCTAAATATGAAATGTGTTCACTTTTCCTATATACCTTATACACATATCCAGAAGGCAATTTAATACAGTATTTTTAGTGTGCCAGTTTTGACTGCAAACTGTCAGGTCAGCACTCCAAAAGTTGTGGATTTTGGAGCATTTCAGATTTTAGATCAGGGATGCTCAACCTGTGTACTTGCTGCTTTAAGGGTTTACCACCTGTGTAGCCAACTCTGATACAATAAGCTCTTTTGATCCAATATATAGCCAACCATCAAAGACTATACCTAGCACAAAGAGCTGGGGCTGTAAGGAAATCTTTGCTCATATATGGCTAGCTCTCCCTCATTTTAGATGTGAGGGGAAGCAGTGACAGGATGGCAAACAACGGGCACTTTGCCCTCTGTTTTGAGTAGCATGCAAGAACTCTGAAATAAGACAAACTGAATTTATTTGCCCTTATTCTCCTGTCCCTTTCTATATTATGTGACTATGAAAAAATGGAAGATCCAAAAAAAATGATAGTACTTGGGATCAGGTGTATACGTTTCTGTGTATAAAATCCTTAAGAACATCGACAAGCCTTGCTGAGCTAGGTACAAAGTTGCTAAGTAAATACAGCTGATGTGTCTTCCTTGGTGAATCCTTGGTACATGAAAAGCAAATGGAAAAGGGTGCTTTGTATTATCAATTTGTAGCAGTTTCACTTTGCTAATGGATAAAGCTACCACAAAATCAGAAATGGCCTTAGTAGAGGCAGGGGTATAGCTCAGTGGGAGAGAGCTTGCCTAACATTCTCAAGGCCCTGGGTTTGATCCCCAGTGAGATCGAGAAGAGAAGAGAAGAGAAGAGAAGACAAGACAAGACAAGACAAGACAAGACAAGACAAGAGAGAATGGCCTTTATGGAAGGTATACTGGACTAGGACTACAGAGATCTAGATTTTGGACTCAGCCTTTTAAACAACTAACAGTGTGGCATATAACTTTGGGCAAGTCTTAACTTTTCGTTAATAAAGGAAATAAATAAATCCTCCTTCCCCAAATCCTATGACCTTTTCTAAATCTAATAATTAATCTATGATTTTCTTGCATTAAAATCTTACTGGTTACAATCCTAAATCTCACTGAATTTTGGTAGTTGTCATATGTACATCATCAAATTTATACTGAGTCCATTTAAG